CAAAATATTGGAGGCGGGAAAATAAATACACAGCGAGCAAGAGCAGATGGAGAAAGCGACAATGAAGAGAAAGCCGTCTGGAAACGAGATTCAGAGCTTGGTTGATGCCATTAAAGCTTCCGATGTAAGTTTCTTTCACCTTTAATGGCTAATTTCCAACTTCATTTCACCCTAACCTCTAGGTCCATTGTTTGGTCAGGTTTTGTCACTCAATTTATATAATGATTTGGTTGCGCCTAAATACAACTTGATAGAGAATACGAAGTTTGTCAATTCATTTCGGTAATTTCTGATTAAAACCTGATGTGTTGGATAAGAACCGCTAATCACAAGCTAGCGAGGTCAATTGTATTGATGCTGGAATATCATTTAGAATTAGGAATCCGCTTTATCAGAGTTCCTGTAATTATTTATAGCTTGGAATTAGCCATTTGCCTCGCATCAGTTATGATGCGAACTGTGAGTCCCCTTATAAGTGAAACGTTGAGGGTTACACAAAATTTCCCACCATGGTTTTAGTTGATCTGAAGGTTTTGTGGCCATACCTATCCTCCCCCTTACCCCATTCCTATGGGATTTAGGGTTTCATTGTTTTTGTTGTGGTATTCTCTGTAATGTAATAGCAGCTTTATCTTTGTGTTCTTACTTTTTAAATTGGGGTTTTACTTCTACAGGTGGTTGAGAGCCGAACTCAACTAATTTCTAAACTTGGGGAGTTAGATGTTGCTGATGAAAATGATCGAGTTTCTATCTTGGAATGTCTAACAGTATCATTCTCATTAAATTGTTGATTTGATTTGTTTGAATTTTTTCTGTTCATGCATTTGGTGACAAATAATTGCTCTGTCTTTCTACATTGTCACCTTAACTTTTTGGTCTAGACATTCTGGGAAGACTTCACATGTCTGGATGTATCTCAGTGCACGTTAAACAAAACCATTTTGAAAGTAGCTACAACTTACCTAGAATCAGATACCTCCAAATCCCTCAGTCAATTGCTTGCTTTAGGAACCAAGGTACATTTTCCTTCACTTCTGTACTCAACTTTTAGACCATTTGATCAGTTTTCACTCTAGACTAAGTTGCTTCTTGAATTTATACAAGGCAACCATATGGTGTAGAAAACACATGAAGATGACACTTATGTCCACTGATGATTCTCAAGAAGAGGAACATTATGGTCTCTTTTTCCAGGTGAGTTTATTAACTCAACCTTTCCTTTCCACTATAATCTTTTTTGTTAGTAAAATGCTTTGTTTTCTCATGAAGAAATGACTTTTGGTTTCAGGTGCTCTTGGATATGTTATGCCACTCAGCTGCTGTTTTATCAACTTTGGCAAGGCATCCTGTTTCAACAGGAAAGGATATAATGGCCATGATTGAAACATCCATTTTGGAAATCTTAAATCTGACAAAAGACTCGATATTAGAGGTTAAGGTGACTACTTTCCCATTTTTAACTGTTCATTCATTATATTAAGATTCAAAATTAGAGGTTAAGTTTTCTCATCTGTCACTGTAACAGAGAATCCAAACACATGGTTCAGAAGTACTAAAGGCATCACAAGTGGTTCTTGAGGCTCTTATATCTCTATGCAAATCATATTGCAACAATTTGAATTCAAATCATGATGACAAAGAGTCAAACCAAATGAATCACATCATCAACATAACAGAATCCACTATCCAAAATTTGGTAGATTTGGGTGTTGTTGCTGCAAATGCAGGTGGAAATCTAGTCACTGTACTAAATATATCATGGAAAGGAGTTGTTACTTTACTTCAGCTATGCAAAGGGACACTAGAACTGAAGATGAACATATCAGACATTATTTTGTCTCTAATTTCATTAGCTAAAGGATCTTTAACTCATGCAGCTCAAACATGGTCTTCTTTAATGGAACCTGTTTCTATGTCTGAAGCTAAAAGAATATTCATTCCAGCTAAATTTTACTTGATTAATGCTGCAAGAATAATCTCCCACTACCCATCTCAAGCATTTTTGATCTTCAAAGATATAACACTTTGCATAATTACAATCTTAACCTTCAAGATCTTTTTGTGTAAAGAAGAGCTCCTCAAATCCGCAAGTGAAGCCTTGGGAGAACTTCTTGAGCCCACATCAATTCATCTCCTCAATTCCTTACTAAATTCATCTCAACTGAAACAAGAACATAAACACCAAATTCTTGATTTCCTATTTACTGATATTAACACATCAAGTTTTGTCTCAAGTGATCAATCAACCACAATGGACTCCATCTTCTCTTTAACTCTTGGGTCAAAACCGTTGTTAATTGGTCAAGTTTTCTTATTTATTACTCTTCTGAAAAGTGCTCCTGATGTGGAAGATGATGTGAAGCTTGAAATTGCAAAAAAGATGGAATGGATTTTGAATATCTTAACAGATGAAGATGTTTATTTCTCTGTTCTTGCATTACAACTACCTCTATTCCATGGTTCTGATCAGAACATGTATTGTTCAATCATACATGCAATGAAGACCTTCATGCTTGTGGTTTCTTCAACTTCAATTTGGGAAGAATTTTTCTTCAAGTCTTTTCTGCTTGAAAACTTATTCCATCCACACCATCTTTGTTGGGAGATTGTTATGGAACTTTGGTGCTTTATGCTTCGACATTCTGAAGCAGAATTAGGAAATGAGATTATTGATAAACTCTGCATTTTATTGAAGACTACAGCTTCTTGGGAATCAGTTTTAAATCATGATAGTGTTCTTCGTAAACTTTCAAAATCAATTTGCAGGATTGTTAAACATGGTTCAGAATCCATGGCTGATAGAGTTTTCAACTTCATTGTCAATGGTGATGTTTCCAGATTATCATCTGTTATGTTTACAGCATTGCTCATGGAAGGATTCCCGTTGAATTTGCTTTCAAATAAGGTCAAAAGTGTTGCTAAACAAAGAATAGTGATGGAATATTTTCAGTTTTTGGATGGATTTGAAGATGAATCGAGGAAATGTGGAGTTGGAATTTTTGGTGCACCGGTTTTTGCCATGTCTGCTGCTGTGCAATCTCTGTAAGTAACATTAGATTCTCTGTTAGAGTAAATTACAAATTTGGTCCTTGTATTTTACCTAAAATCACAAGTTCAGTCCAGATCTCAAAATTGTCCCAATGTTATCCTTAACTTTACATTTTTTTTTGCATATATGGTCCTGTTTGAGTTTGACTTCAAAATTTGGACAAAAATTGTGAATTCAATTCAAGTACATGGACCATATCTGCAACAAAATGCAAACTTGAGGATGCCAATTGGGACAAATTCAAAATTTGGAATGAACTTGTGATTTTGGGTAAAGTACATAGGCCAAATTTGTTATTTACTCTTTTTTTAAGACGTATGTGGGTTTTAATGAGCTTGTATTATCTTTAATATTTATTTTTTTTAACAATTTTACTCTATTAGCGTAAATTACAAATTTGGTCCTTGTATTTTACCTAAAACCACTAGTTCAGTCCAGGTTTTGAAACTGTCTCAATGTCATCCTTAAATTTACATTTTCTTGCGAATTTAGTCCCTAATTATTCAAACATTGGACAAAAATTGTGAATTCAAGTCAAGTACATGGACCATATCTGTAACAAAATGCAAACTTGAGGATACCATTTGGTACAAATTCAAAATTTGGACTGAACTTGAGATTATGAGCAAAGCACAGGGACCAACTTTGTAATTTGTTTAGTATTATTAAGTCATGCAAACCTGCGGAAACCATTGAGACAAATTCAAAATTTGGGTTGAACTTGAGTTTTTGAGCGAAGTATAGGGACCGAATCTGTATTTTACTCTTTTTTATCACGATCATATGTGGGTTTCAATGAGCTTGTATTATCTTTAATTTAATTTAATTTTTACTACATTTTGATATTCTCTTGTGTCGTGTAGGCAAGTGAGCATATCAGACACAGAAATGAAAACAATAAACTTATTAATTTCCATCATTCAAAAATACAAAAACAACACTCACAACTCCAAATACCAAAACCTTCTGAATGAAACTTTAGCCATAATCTCTACCATGAAGCATCTTTACACATCCGAAGAAATGGGAACACTTATTGTAAACCTTCAGACTCTCTTCACTTCAGATTCTGATTCATCTGACAAGTTGTCAAAATGCAAAGCAAATTTAGCTGCTTTTATCTCCGGATTTGGTCACATAGAATATGAAGTAAACGACACCAACCCAAAGTTTTCATCTTCATGGAAGTTATTTCACATGCTTTTAAAAGAACGACATTGGGCTTTATCCCATTTAGCAATTACAGCTTTTGGGTATTTTTCTGCACGTACTAATTGTGATGAGTTATGGAGATTTGTGCCACAAGATGCTGCACTTTCGTTTGATTTGGAGTCGGGAGTTGAGGCAAATGGGGAAAGGTTTATGTCTGAGTTTACAGTTTCATATGAAAAGGAAACCGGAGTTTATGTTAAACCTAACCATGGTAAAAACGAACTGGTTAAAGAAGGTTTAATGCTAAGAAAAATGGTGGAGAAAAAGATGGTGATTGTTGATAAAATGGAGATAGATAATGATGAAATGTTTAAGAGAAGAAAGATTCATGATGGAGTTGCAAAATTGAAAGATGGGTTGAGGGTTTTTGCGAATGGGATTATGTTATTGCAAGAAAATCGGTTTGATTTTTCGGATGTTGATGGTGAGTTTTTGACTCACTTTTCTCATATTCAAGATACTGTTGGAAGAATGGCTGAAAGCGTCTCTAAAACCAAGTAGTTTTTTAATGTGTTGCATCTTATCAATGATGATTTGCATAGTTTGAAAGATTTGTATAGTTTTTTAATGGGGTAAATGTAAGGTACTTTCTGTTTGTACTTTTATTTTTTGTTATTATAGCATGGTATTTTGAAATTTGGAGTGTGAAGTTTACTTTTTATTGAACTAATAAGGATTTTAAATACAACTGAAAGACAAATTGAATAAAAAACTACTACTGTTGATCAAATTATTTTAAACACTCAAACAACTATAGTTAAGAAAGAAAGTAATTGTAAAAATGAAAAAAAGGAGACAATCGGTCGTTTGGTTGTTGAAAACTTCAACTTTCTCTATAATGAATTCAAACGTGCTTAAGGTAATTTGTGTTATTCTTGAAGGTTTATAACATGCTTTAACTGTAGTGACTTACTTCCAACTCATACGCAACATAATTTTGGTAAAGTTCATGGTTGATATTTCTGGGCTCGAAGATTTGTAAATGCTTTCTTGTAGCCAATTTGGATTCAAGGTGGTTATATACCATGGCTGAGGTTTTTGAAGGCAAAGGCGGCAGACCATATGTTGTTGAAAACCAAAAAGTAAATTTTGAAATAAAATATAAAACAAGAGAAATTAAATATTATCCTACCTTTTATTCGAACTTATCTTGCTACCCACATAAATGGTGATAAGTGTCATATTTAGATAAAACTAATGATATTTTAGGATATTTGTCAATATTTCAAATGGGTAGAAAGATAATTAAGAAGAAAAGTAGGAGAATAATTAATTTCTTATAAAAGAATTATGTAAAATGAGGTTGAAGGGTAGAATGGTAATTCGTAATCCATTTCATTCGGGATGTTAAAATGGGGTCGAAGGTCAAACAAGGTAATGTAAAGCACGACGTAATGGAATAGATTATTACAATTTCATTGCCATGTTTGGTTACTATGCTAGAATAAAATGAATATTTAATCCTGTTGTCTGGTAGGTAGGAAATACACATCAAATGAAATAAAATTAATTGATGATGACAAAATTATCTCTATAACATTTGAGATGTATATAATGTATAAATTTCATATCATCTTCCTCTAAATTATAATTTATATTAGGGAAATCTACTGAAAAGTCCTTAAGTCATTATATTTAGACCTTATAATTGATTTGTTTTTTATTTTTAATTTTTTTAGTCAATTAAGTCTCAAAAACCAGAAATTGTATTCATTTTGACGTTTTAACCAGCCAACAGGTCATCAAACTTTCAAAAACTACATTTTTGGCATAAAGTTTAAATTTTATTACACATTCATCCCAAATTTATTCATTTAGACTTTTGGCCTAGATTTCAAAATTTTGTTACAACTGTAGAGGTCGAAGTTAGATCGTAATATGTCAAAATATGTAATGCTATTATATAAAGACAGTTTGTGTCGAAACTTAACGACTAGTTCTTTATAATTTTTTTGTATGCTTTGTGTTCTCCTATAAATAGGAGTGTTACTTAGAGTTAGATAAGAACTTTGAGTGGACTTGTCTATTTTTCTCTAACATTGAAATTGTAGGGATGAGCAAAAACCGAACCGAACCGAAATAAACTAACATAACCGAAACCAAAGCAATAACCGATGGTTTAGGTTTGAATTTTACAAAAACTGAAAAATAATGGTTTGGTTCGGTTTTGACGTATAAAACCACCCATAAAAACTGAACCAACCCAGATATATATTATTTATTACGTTTTAAACATTAATTTAGTTTTAGTATATTTAAAGTAGATACAATACTATTTATTGCAATGTATTTTTACTGGGTTTGAACCTAAAAACTAAAAAAAAAAAACAGAAGCTCATAAACTCACAGTTTAAAACTAATAACCCATAAACCCAACCCGAATAACCGAAAAACCGAACCATGCAAAAACCGAACCTATATGGGTTTAAATTTGGTTTGGTTTTAGCCGAAATCCGACCCAAACCGATCCATGCTCATCCCTAATTGAAAGCATAATATGAGCTAAACCAGATCCTATTTACATTCGGTGTTAATATTTTCATTACTCTGATTTTACTTTACTTTTCTCGATTCAACACTTCATCAATTGGTATTAGAGTAGGAATCATTCTCTGCGATCTGATTTTTATTATGAATTGAAAGGTTTTTGAATCAAATTCCGATTCAAAACGTTTCCGCACCTTTTGTTGTGAAAATTGTTCATGATCTACAGTTGTGATTTGATTTTACAACTGAATTGTTGATTCGAGTATTCTACTTGAAATTTCTGATCAATTCAGCAATTTGCTTTCAAAATCTTTTCAGTATTTTTTTTTTGAAAAATTCATCTGTATGTTAATGGCGAACTTCAACTTGAATTCAATGACATCTTATTCTCATCTACTAGGATCTTCAACAAAGATTCCTATGCTCATCCCTGAATACTATGATCAGTGGGCTGATCGCATGCAAGATTATTTGAACGGGATTGATGATGAGCTCTGGTCATGTATAATTGGAAATGGAATTCCTCCAACAAATGCTCAACCAATTGGTTCTTTTTCTGCTACTCCAAGTGTTGAAACTCAATCTGATCGATTGAAAAAGAATGAGAAAAGATGTATGAGAGAATTAAGAGGTACTTTGCCTCCTGTGGTCTATAACTATGTTAGAAGTTTTAAAATAGCAAAGGACATCAGGAACACTCTCAAAGAAAAATTTCAAGGAAGTGAGAAGACTAAAATCAATTCTGTGAAACACTGTTTGATTGAATTAAAAGAATTCAAGCAAAAGGATGGTGAAACAATTGAAGGTTATTATGATAGGCTGAATGATTAATCTACAAATGTCATCGTCATGGAATTGCACGAACAACCATGGAATTCAATTTGATGTTTATTATGGGTTTGCGTAAAGAGTGTAGAAAGAAGAGAAAGTTGAGAAGAAACTTAAAGGAAATTCTGGTATTGATTGTCACTACTGCTATGGAGCAAATCATATGGCTAGTGATTGTCAACTTCGTAAGAAGGAGGAAAAGAAGAACAAGATAAAAGACAAAGCTTACTATGTTTAGTGTTTGGAAGAGGTCAGGGAAAAAGCAAAAGGAATGTCTCTAGTGGCTAAGGGTGAAGATGATGATGAAGGAACTTATCAAATATGGTCATCAGGCTCAGATGATGAGGAAATTGTAATCCTATGCATGGTGCCATGTTTGCTAAGCATGAAGATGGAAATGACGAAGTAGTGACTGGTCAATGTTTCACGACCAAAGAAGGGGACAAATCTCCAATGACTACTAAGCTACGTTCTATCCTTCAATCATTTAATATTCCTTTGAATGCTTATGATTCTGAATTGATTGCTTTTGATGATACTGTTGCTAATTTCGATACATTGATAATCTCTACTAGTAACGACGCTAAGAAATCAACATCTCAGTTACTAGAAGTGTAGAAGGAGTTAGATTCAAAGAAGATAAAAGTAGAATATTTAGAATTACAGATTACAAATTTGATGTGTGATAGGGACTCTGTGAGTAGTGAAGTAAAAATGATATTAGCCCAACGCAACATCTATTGTAATTCTACTAAAAGTTTGTATGCTAAACTAACTACTTTGCTTCATTCTTCTGACATAAGTAAGGAACAACTTAGAAAGCTTTAACCTTTTCTAGTTTACGTAACAGAGAAGGTTGATTTCATTTCTTATGATTGTGAGAAAACCATTGCAGAATTCGATAGAATTCCTGATGATAGATATACATATGGAATTGTGAAAATAAACGAATATCTTGATATGAATTAGTTGAAATTGTGAATGATACCTTGAATAAAACTGAACAAATCAAAATTTAGAAAAGAACTGAGAATTCGATATCTAATTCTCAATCTAATTTTGCTAATATCAAAGATAATTCTGATAATTTTAGCGAAATGAGTGAAATAGAGGAGGAAGAAAGTATAGATTGTTGTCAGTTACCTGTCATTAATGTCACATCTAAGGCTAAAGGTAAAGAAATTTGTAATGATTCATTGGTTAAGTGTGATACTGGCAAACCCTCAACTTTGAAAGTCTGTGATTTCGATCATGTAAGTGTCAGAGATAGTCAAACAGACAACAGTGATGACGAAAATGATGATGAGGTTTCGAAAAAGTCAAAATCAACAAAAATAGATTCAAATGAAAAAGAAATTCCATGAATTGTTGTTGATCAAGTGTATGGAGATACATGAAAATTTGACAAAGTAATGACTGAAAAGGGTTCTCATTATCTGAAAACAAATACAGTGGTGCATCTTAATTTCAAGTGTACTGATGATGTTATCTTTCCAAATCAAGTGTTTTTCACTACTAGGAATGTTGATAAAATCAAACCTGAATTCAACAAAATGATTGAAGAAGATAACAAGAAAACATCAGATGAAGGTTTCTTTTCAAATCAAAGTGTTGTTGAAAATAATCTAACAAAGAATTCTTATGTTTTCCAGAAACAAAAACCACAACGAAAATGGGTTGAAAAACAAAAGATTTTAAATGTTGTTCAAAACCAATTGTTGAAAATGATGAAAAAGCAGTTAAAATATATGAAAAGAAAAAGGTTTTAACAAAAGATCAAAAACAAGTTGTTGGAAATGTTGAAAAAGTTGTCAGAATCAATTCTCATGAATTTCAAGATCAAGTTGAAAAGTTCTCAAAAGATAATGGCATTTCAAAATGACAATCACGAAAGAAAATGTTTTCAAAACATTTCAATCCTTCATTAGCGAAATTTCAAAATAAAAGTTTCACAAGTCAAAGCCAACATCTTCAACATACAAATTTTACAAATCATTCAAAGAATTTTCAATAACGTTTTTCTCAAAAAAAAGATTTTACTGCAAAAGTTAACAATCAAAAATCTGTAAATCTTCGTTCAAAATCAAATGTTCATTTCACTCCACAACATCCAACTTTTCAAATCCTTCGGTAAAACAAACCTCAAAAGTCTCATACAATAAGGGTTTCTTAGATGTGTATAAAATAAATCATTGGCATGAAGGAAAGGGAAAAATGTATCAATCACGAAACTTCTGACAACAACACATCAAAGAAGCTTATGAGAAGTATCTGATTGATTCTTCCAATCGCCGTTCATCTTCTAAAGAAT